TGTACAAAAATTTGTACTGTGTACAAGTAGCATGGCTTAAATAAAATCAATGGGGTGTACATGATCAGTGAACAGCGGCAGAAGAGAGCATGGCTTTTGTGCCACCAGAATGAGGTTAACCAATCCAAATCACTCGATATTCAGGAAACTACGTGGAACAATTTGATCATCAGCTTTCAGGGAAACAAATTAATGATAACATAACAGTTGCCTTAGCTTTCATCATCAGCATCCACACTAGTGACACTACGTGGAACAATTCGATCTTCACTCTCTTTTAGAACCTCTTGGCTGTTTGCATGACTACATCAATTTCATAATTGATTCACGTCTTTGATCACTTTTGGTACATAATTATTGTGTTTTCTTTCATATATGATTCTTTAGTCAATGTTTCTCACGATTAAAATCGCCGAAAAAAGAATCACAAATGCTCAAGTTAACTAATTGTAGAATTGGCACAAAATTCAGAGGACAAAAAATGGAATTAATTCTTTCAATTATAAAACAAACTCAGAATACAAACACGTATCTATTCTTTCAATTATTAACACGTCAACTACATCATCTACTCTTGACAATAAATGTGTGTTCATTGTGGTGGTGGTAGGTTGGGGTGGAATGTGATGAGAAGGAGAAGACAGGTTCTATATAAGACCAGACTTTGACGGTAGTAAAGTATATATAGAACCGGACATCTACCAAATCAAGTTAGTTCAAACCTAATCAGATTAAACCTGATCAAATCATACTTGAACAGATCAAATCATATCAAAAAATTTCAGTCGAATTAAAAATATTTGTGACAAATTACATGGTGATTGACCAAATACTAGCATGAATTTGCATGCAAAGTTATTACACAAGTGCTAAAGGTACCCCAAAATGTAACTCATTTTTACCCCAACCCACTTAAATGAATTGCCCCATTTATGGCCACAAATTAGGGAGTGAGGTAAAAATGAGGTACATTTTAGGGTACCTCTAGCAAAACTCAAGTTATTACCTTGGAATATAAAAAGGAAAATAAAATAGAAGTATTTGTTTGATTTTAAATTATTGACATATGGGCCACATACACCAATTTTAGAATGTGGAAATTACCCGTACGGTTCCGTTTTAGGCATCACATTTCATTTATGTCACACAAGTATTTTGTTTTCATTTTCTGACTTTCATCTTTTCACTTTAACACTTTTTATTTCAAAAGTAATCCACACCCTAAATTAAAACATACGCAGTGCATCCCTCGATGAATCGACGATGAAAATCCTTCATGCTCCATCGATGAAGACAAAAGTTGGCAGGAACCCACGGGGAATTACTCTATGGTGAATTAGCTAGGCATTCATCTTCTTCCTCGACATTGATGGAGACACTCGGCCGATTTCCAATACAAGCCCAACTCAAAGCCATCATCGGCGACGAGAAGCTCAAGGCAAGAAGCGATTTCAATCGCTTTCTCAATCTTATGTTCAAGCAACTCAATTGATTTACTCACAGGTTTGCTCTTCAGTTCTCCTCCTCTCTATATGTTATCTATATGTCTTTTATCATTTTATTTGTTAATTTAGAAAAATTGTTTGTGAATCGATTAAGAATTTGGTATGGTTTAGATAAACACAAACTTTTTGGAATAAGCATAACATAAAAATCTTCCTTGCTGCTGTGTTCTTGCCTCCAAAAGCAGGATTTCTAACCAACCAGACTAGAAGACAACCGTGTGCCGCTCTACTCTCAAATTCCCCCAATCTACAATTTTTTATAGCATAGGAGAAGGGCCGTCTTAGGTTGCTGTTCCGTGGATGCAGTTCATTGTTTTCCAGTTTCTCTGCACAAGTCATTATCTTTCATTTTTGTTCTTGAGCTTATGCAAACTCACAAAAATGCTTTGATCATGAAATTTGAGCCATGATTAGCAACTGAAATTAGAGTTCAACATTAAAACTAAAAAAATCACCTATTTCAGAAAATAATATATCGAAACAGAGAAATAAAAAACAATAGGTTATATACTTATATCCACAAATCTCTACGGAGACTTGGAGCGTGTTGTCTATTGGGTTTGGGCTTAGACTATAAGTGATTGTCTTCTTGCTTTGGTATATGCGCAATATTCATATACTTCCAACTGTCATGCCAAACCAGCTTCAAATTAAGGCTTGATAGAACTTCTGTATAATTAATTACTTTTATCTGTTTTTAGCATGTGGGGATATAATTATAGAGTTGGAGTGTGGAGAGAAGCAAAATATGTTGGATATTGATGGATGACATTAGTAAATCAGAGTAGCACGCCGCAATTACATCCCCTTGTGACTGTATTTCTTACCAATCCTAATGTATTTTTAACATTAGTGCAACAATTCTGACAGACGCTGAAATTAGTGTTCTTGGTATGTTGGAACTCTTTGAGATGCAATTTGATCAAATGTATCATTCCACATGCCTTGATTCTCCTCTCTTGGTTGCTGCTGCGGCTATTCCAGAAAAAGGAAGAGAAAAAAATGCTCTTGGTCTTCTTCTTGTTATTGGGGTCCTTTCAGAAGAAAGGGGAAAGAATCTCTGTTGCGGCCAATTGTTTGCTCCCTGCTGCTGCTTGTTTTTTAATGGAATGAAAAAATTATAATTCATATTGTGTTTTATGCTACAGTGATACTCAAATGCAGGTTACCAAGAGCTACCAAGGATGTAGGTGTTATTGTTGTACTTAATGTACGTTCTGCCATTGCCTATTCCGTGGACAAGAAGTATATCCCTGTGTTTGATAAAAGATTTTTCTGACCAGAAAGATGAAAGATGTAGCACATCCCAAATCAATAATTTAATACAACATGACTGAGTAGTTGATGAAATCTTTGGATTTGAGCATCAAAACTGTGTCTTTTATCTTTACACAATGCTGTCAAATGTATTCTCTCATTGTGTTGTACATGTATTCTAATGTTTTACTCATATATGCTTTATTTATTTGGGATGAACAGAATATTGGTGGACTTACACAAGGATTGATGAAGGTTCCCTGATTCATTGATTTTTAAGAATAAAACGAAGACTATCATGGAAAGTGAAGACAAGATATTCAACCTTGAAAAATTGTGTGTTAAGATGCATAAAAAGAAGTGATATGAAGGAAAGCCAAATTATATGATAGATACACATATATGTAATAAATTGAAATGCTAGATTGAATTACACAATTGATGTGATACTTTTATGTATTTTTTGTTTCTTTTTGTTGCATTGAATGTGTTGCTTTTTGTTGCCTCCTGTTGTTTTCTGTTGCACGGTGTTGCATTTTGTTGCATTGTGTTACTTATTTTTGTTTTATTGTTGATCTTGTTTTTTGTTGTTTATTTAGGTTTTTATTTACTTTTGCTACTTCTTTGAAGTAAGAAAAACTCAGAAATGATAACTTTGGATTTATGAATATAAACCAATGACAGGAAACATAAATAAACAATTAAAAACAAAATTTTCTCTTTTGGATTTATGTATCATGTTCCTTTTTGTTGCTTTTGATTGCATCTTGTTGCTTTTTATTATGTTGTTTTTTGTTACATAATGTTGCATATTGATTTTGATTTTTTTGTCTATTTATATTTATATTTATATTTATATTCCTTACTTATTTGGAATAAAAAGCACACACATACACACATATAAACACCTAAAATGGTAAACTTGGATTTATGAATAAACAAAAAGAAACAGGAAGAAACAATAAAAAACATGCATAAAGAAACAATATGCAACAAAAAGTAACAATTAATTGATAATAATAATAATAATAATATCTAAAGTGTATAAGTTCATTATTGCAAGTTCTAAATTTTTTTAATTTTTCTTTTCTTTTTACTTTTTTATTTTCGATTTTCAATATTTAAACAACTTGTAATTTAGTGTTTTTAATTCTAAGAACCTTGTTTACATTTTAATTTGATTTTTCTATTGTTTTAAAATATCATATATTTATTTCAGAGCCTTTTAGAACGTTCTCAAAGAATAAAATTAATACTCTCTCCGTTCTTTTTTAGTTGCAACGGTCAACATTTCATATTTGACAACGCACGTCTTTGACCGTAATTATATCTTAATTCTATTAGTAAAAAATATTAAAAATCAGATTTTGAAAATTTGTAATGAGATGAATTGAACAATATTTTTTTTTGAAAAAATAATTCACAAAAAATAATAGCGTAAAATATAGTCAAAGTAGAGCATGTGAATAGTGTAAAATTCAACATGTTGTGATTAAAACGGAACGGAGGATAGTATTATTTAATATTTTCAAAATATTTTTATCTAATATAACTTATTTTTGATAATTTTAAGGTTATCGATTTTTTAACCATTTTACATTTTTTTTATAAAATTTTTTATTTTTATATTTTATAAAATAAAATATATTATCTATTTAAAAACGCTACATTAAAATATACTTCTCAAGTTTTTTTAATGTTTTTACATATTTTTTATATTTATAACTTTTTTGTAAAATTTAAATTCATTTACTTTAATTTTTAAATTCAATTTACAATTTTCCAATTTTGCATTTTTTTAGTTTTACTTTTTATTTTGAGTTTTTTTATGTTTTTAAAATTCAATTTCCTTTTTCTAATTTTATTGTTTTCTAAACATTATGAACAATATGAGTTAATGAATATTTATTATTTTTTGAGAAGTGAAACAGTGATTCAAATTTACATGTAAAGGGATGTACGTGTCAGTTGAAAGAAAAGAAACTTTAATCTGTGGGCTTCATACGTGCCAATGGTCCGTTTTTGAAAAGAAACTATCAAGTAATCTATATTTGAAAGAGTTTTAAAAGAAACAAAAGTGATATTACGTTCATGTTTAGACTATTTGTGAAAATTTCCGGATTAGAATTAATATGCCAACTGAGCTACCAGAGGCCAGCCTTTAGTTCGATGTTAAATGGACTACGGCTACTGAAATATCAAACATCACGTCATAAATTAATTTTGTGGGTGGATGTACAAAAATTCAATGCAAAACGTACACCTAAATTAGACTCCTCTAATTATTTAAAGACCATTTCAAATATGAAAACCATCCGTCAACATTGAAAAATATATTATTCCGTATATCCCCATGGCCTTATCCCAAACCGTCATCATATTAGACCAAATTCCGGTCTCACCACCGCCGGAAGCATTCGCCGGAATCCCCCTTCCCCTAACATTTTTCGATGTGGAGTGGCTGCCAAGGCCCCCAATGAATAAGCTCATATTCTATCTCCACCCCATGGGAAGAGTGGACTTTTTGGATTCCCTAATTCCCTGTATGAAAAATTCCTTATCCCAAAGCCTGCAACATTATAGTCCCCTAGCAGGTAGATTGGTTGTCTCACCGGACAAGACAAACATACCCGAAATTCGTTACACGGAGGGTGACACTATTCCGTTGGTTATCGCGGAGTTCAACTCAACGAACCCCAACGATTTTAACCACTTTGTGTCAAATGATGCAAGAAGTTCAATGAATTTCAATCCACTAATTCCAAGATTACTCCCGACTTCACGAGCATCGGATGGCTCACTCGCAGTCCCATTATTGGCGTTACAAATAACACTATTTCCCGATGTTGGGATATGCATAGGTGTGACCAACCACCATGCAATGTGTGATGGGAGTAGCATCTTCGGTTTCATGAGAGCTTGGGCTTTCTTCTCTAACCGTCCCAAAGACGACAAAGACGCGCCACCTCAATTTGTACCAGATTACGATAGAACATCCTTCAAAGATCATAAGGAGCTGACAACGATTTATTGGGACCGTGTGAAAAACGTCAACTATGAGGAAACACATAACGCTCATCGCCTTCCGCCTATCATTGACAAGGTTAGGTCCACTTTTATCATGACACAAGACGACATTCAACAACTTAAGAATCACGTCCTCGCACGAGGACATGATTCGTTGCACGTATCGACATTTACGGTGGCGTGCTCATACACATGGAGTTGTCTAGCGAGATCAAGAAGCCAGACATACAAGGAAGACGAAGATGGCGGGGACTTAGAAGAAATGGAGAATTTTTTGTTCCCCGCTGAATGTCGGGCACGTTTGGACCCTCCCTTGCCTAAAAACTACTTTGGCAATTGTATGGTACCATGTCTATATAGCATAAGAGAAAAAGACCTTGTAGGAGATGAAGGGATGAGAAAGGCAGCTGAGGGGATAGGAGGGAGCATTCGCACCGTATTATACAATAATGAAAAGGAGGGAGTGTTGAAAGGTGCTCGCGACAGGCCTACCGTTATCTCCAAGTTGAACTTCGGCCGAACCTTGACTGTAGCTGGCTCGCCCAAGTTTGATTATTATGGGCTCGATTTCGGATGGGGGAGGGCTAAAAAGTGTGAATTTCCTTCTATTGATTTGAACGGGGCTATTTCTCTTGGTGCAGCCAAGGACCATGAAGGTGGAGTAGAAGTGGGCGTGACTTTGACCGTTACACAAATGGACTACTTTACCAAGATATTCTATGATGGTTTGAAAAACAAAGGTCGCTTCTATTATGATGGTTCAAATCAATAGAAGGAAATTCACACTTATTAGCCCTCTCCCATCCGAATTTTTTTTTTGCACTACTTTACCAAGATTTTTTTTCTATGATGGTTTGAAAGCTTTGGGCGGCTAGCTAGCTTCTGATGGATGACATCATTCACCAGACTTTGATTTCGATTTCTTCCACTCGGCTTCATCCTAAAATTAGGGTTTGTTTTGTACTAATAATAATATGGAATAAGTGTGCATCACGTTGTAGGTATTATACATCTGAACTTATCACGTGGTGCATCTATATTTATCTACTAGAAATAATGGATCTTAGGGCATGTTTGGTAACGGCTGTAGTGACTGAACTGGCTGAAAAAAGTGAATTCGATGAACCGAAAGTGTTTGGTTATATGTTGGCTGAAATGGCTGATCGAAAGTAAAATTACCATAAAGGATATTAAATTTTTATATATGCTACTACTTTCCTAAAATTGTTGTGTCCTTCAAATTGTTATGCATCTATTCTTCGTGAAAACACACATCCACATATCCAATGTACATCAGTGAAAAATGGCCAAATTTTTCTTAACCCACTTTTGAGATCTTTCCAATACTAAAAACGGAATTGTTTTTAAGAGAAGAAAATCAGGCAAAATTTCACCAAATTTCTACAACCTAGAACTAAAAGCTCTAAAAAATCAGATCAATATAAAATAAAAACAAAAAAAATCGGTAACGAAAGCCATTTTAGAGGAAAAATTCTGATATGTAATGATTCAAAGCCAAATTTAAGAGATATTACACACAAGAAGAATGAAGACGGCCTCAAATGAAAAAGAATCTTGAAATTGAGTTTTCCTCATCCAAAAGGAAGAAAATGCAGATTAATAGATGCCAAAGAAAGTGAGCAAACTAGATAGCAACCGAAGGCTTGGGTAATCTTCCGATACAAGTGAGCTAAAGGCAGTCTTCAGTTGTGGGGGTAAAGGGTCTTTGCTATTGCTAAGAGTAGAATAATAAATATCAGCCCAAAAAGTAACTGAACACTTCCTTTTTCAGCTGATAAGAAAAATCAACTCAAGTAGCCAATTTGGTTGGTTTGATTGGTATTTTGTGTACCAAACAGTCCCTTAAAGTGAATCCAGCTTTTTTAATGCTTCATAGTAGATTATGTATAAGCCAACTTTCACTACCACATTTCATGTTTTTCTCAAATAATGTACTCCGTGCACTATTTGAGAAATACACGAAATGGAGTAAGACTTTAAGAGAGTGCTGGTATCAGTGTATTACTGTGTATTAATTCAAATTTAGTCAATGTAATGTGTAAAAATAAAATCTCAATTGTGTATTATATCGCGTCTGAAATAAAAAATACAAAGAATACACCCATTTCATTTGTTTAATGACTAGGTTATAATGTTATATACATTATAAAATTATAATGTTATACAGAGTAAAATCACAGAGGAATGCTAGAGGTACCCCATTTTGAACACCACTCATGTTTGTAGCTCACAAAAACTCAACCCAATTAAATTAATTGCTCCATTTTAACGAAGTGCTTTTGTGAACAACACACATATATAGGTGGTACAAAATGGGGTACAAAATAGGGTATAAAATGGGGGTAGTTTTAGCATTTGTGAAAATTATAACCTCAGTTCCTGTTGAAATCCCACACCGCATACTTGTGAAGGAATTAAGTGTTATATTAAGATCCGAATTACTCATCCTATCAGGTTGACCTTTTAGGATGGAACCCTACATTTTAACATAACACTTGATGCATTCACAAGTTTTCGATGTGAGAATTCAAATCATGCTTTTTATGAACGTACTAAGCATATTAAAATTGATTGTCACTTTATTCGGGATCATATTCGGGTCGGTACTATTAACACCTTTCATTGTTCTTCCTCCGAGCAGTTAGTTGTTCGGTTATTATTATTTGTTCAGGTAGTCATCTTTGGGAGAAGGAGCGTATTGACCACTAATAAGGTCTAGATCAAGAAGCACATTGGACATTAAGGTTATTTTTGGAGCAAAAAAGTCTACATTTTACCTTTTGGGAGCACATTGCACACCCACTCACGATGTAACTTGTTTTTTCTTAGTTTCTTCTTTCATGTTTTTGTAATTTTTTATATTGATTTCTTATATAGTTGGTTTTATACTTTATAATTTTTTTTCATTTCTATGTGTGTGTATTGGAAGAAATTAGCTTATACTAAAATATCAGAAAAGTCTTTTTTATAAATATATAAATAATGAAGTAGGTAAATAGAGAAAAGAAAAAGGATTATAAGCTAACCTAGCTAGAACCGTAATAATCATAGTAATAAATCAATAATCTTAGGGTGTTTGTATATATTACTCCATCCGTCCCCCTAACTTTGTCCCCTTTTACCTTTTCCCCCGTCCCATTCAGTTTGTCCCATACCATATTTGATAATATTTGAGCGGTTAGAATTCATTCTTACTTATTCACACTTTATCAATTCGATACCAACCACACAATTCCACTTTTTCTTAAAAATCATACCACACCCCTTTGTCCAAAACTTAGGGGGCGGAGGTAGTAGTATACTACCTCCATTCTTAAATAAATGAAACACTTTGACTTTTACACTATTCACATGTTCTACTTTGACTACGTTTTATTTATTAATGTAATAATGTTATTTTATGAAAAAAATATTGTTAAACTTGTCTCAGCTCATTGTAAATTTTCTACATATTTTTTCATCCTAAATCGTATAAAATTGAAAATAACATTTATAAATACATGAATTTATTAATTTAATCTAACATTTAAAAAAGATATGCAAAGAAAAGCAGCAGAGAAAAAAAATCAGGCGACTGATGTGGAACAGAAATGTGCATTTGATGAAACTGAAATGTGCATTAGGCGATATTGAAATATGCATAATAAAAATTTAAACTCAAGTGTGCATTAGGTGAAACTGAAATGTGCGGAATAAAATGTACAAAAATCACATCACATCGTACCTTTTATTCTGCATATTTCAATTTCACCTAATGCACATTACAGTTTCATCTAATGCACATTGAATTTCACTTAAAGCAAATCTAACAGTCCAGATTCATTCTCATTTCTCTCCTACGATCGTGTTCTTATTTGAACCAAAACATATAAGAACACGTATATATATATATATATATATATATATATATATATATATATATATATATATATATATATATATATATATATATATATATATATATATATATATATATATATATATATATATATATATATATATATATATATATATATATATATATATATATATATATATATATATATAGGGGTGAGATCACATACAAACCATGCTTAACTTACTAACCTACAAACTCAATAATATGCACAACTTTGAACTTCAATATGCAGTACTAATAATGTAAAGATGCACTCTTTGAATTTCAATATGCAATACAAATAATGTAAATATGAAAGTTCTGTTTTATGGCCTGAATAATATGAAACACTTTGAACTTCAATGCGCAATACAAATAATGTAAAGATTATTTGAATGGGAGGACTAGTTTGTATGTGATCCAACCCTTGCAGCTTTACATTATTTTTACTGCATATTGAAGTTCAAAGTGATGCATATTATTGAGTTTGTAGGTTAGTATTTTAAGCATGGTTTGTATTTGATCTCTTATCTATATATATATATATATATATATATATATATATATATATATATATATATATATATATATATATATATATGTGTGTGTGTGTGTGTGTGTGTGTGTGTGTGTCCCTTCAGGGACATCCGATAAAATTGGAACGATACAGAGAAGATTAGCATGATGGCCCCTGCGCAAGGATGACACGCACAAATCGATATATATATATATATATATATATATATATATATATATATATGTATATATATATATGCATGTATGTATGTATGTATGTGTGTGTGTGTGTGTTATGCTAGCTATGTGAGATAGATAATTTTGAGCTAAACATTCCCTAATATTTTCACTCTGCTGGATTAATACAAAGTATTTGTTTTGTATTCTCGTTGTTCTGTTACCGGCTTACGCCGAAGAGCTCGTTATATTTTGGGGAAAGGTTTTCGCTAGTCGGAAATACTTTCTTGAGGACAGCATCTGACGCGTCTCGAGCTATATTATTATCTATAACAGTTTTTGCAGGTTTATCCGGCGAATTCCACCAACACAATCAATATAACAACAAATAAACTACTTCGTATTAATATTTAATATAAGAAGCTAAAAATATTTATTAAAATTGGGACCCATATAGTGATAAATAAATAACAATGAGTAATGAAAAGCATTACATAAAGGGATTTTCCTTAAATATCAGTGATAGACAAAAAGCAATTACTTAGTAACTATTAGTGACTACAATTGTGTTTAAAGTTTATATCGTAGTAACTAGCTTACATGTAATTACTACAATGTAAATTTGAACACAATTATAATCACAAATAGTTACCAAGTAATCTTTTTGTCCGTCACATTTTAAAGAGTAATATTAATGATATTTTTTCTTACATAAATATTAAAAATTAAAGAAAAGAGAATAAAATAATTGTAGGGTACATCACCCTAAATGTTCTAACCTTCTCTAAGTAATCAATAATCAATGTGTTTCGTGACTCTGCAGACCAGTAGACGATGGATCCCAATTTGGTAAACAAATTAAGCTAAATGATGCACACTAATTAGTAGTGCATAATTATATGTTTTTATGTTTGATTTATGTTGATTGTTTGACTTTTAATTTAGTTTGTAAACATTTGTGTGATTTTAGTTGTAAATGTATTTTAGCTTTCATTTGTAAGTTGTAAAGTAGTGTTAGGATTTGTAGTGTTGGAAAAGAGGACTTTGAAGTGAAGAAAACTGCCCATGTGACTTACCCGGTCGGGTATTACTACTGTCACGCCCCGGACCTAGCCGGACACGTCAACAACCCGCCGTACAGTACGAATAGTCAACCGTAGTCCAACTCATCCATACTATACAAGGCGTCATGAATATCATTCACACATAGTACATCCATAAACAAACATAATGTAAAAACATTCATTTAAAACAGCGGAAGCATTTAATAGAAGTGTCTTAGCCACACTTTGGCAAACATGGGCATGCAAGCCCCCAATTAGTTATTCAAAATAATATCCATGAGCACTATTATAAATGTTTTGAAAACAGGAAACAGAAGAAGCACGAACCACGTCTTCTCCCTTGAAAATCCCCGAAACAACGGGCGCCGGTAGCAACCTTCAAGTTCTACCTGAAACTGTGAGGTGGCCTCCCCCGTGAAGGGGAGGTCAGTACTTGGAAATATTTGACAAGTACAATAGCAACTATACTAAGTATAATCAACGTTTTAATTTCCAAGACCCTCAAAATAGGGTGATATCATATATAAATAATAATTTATATTTCCCACTTATTATCTTTATAATAAGTAAATTTATTTATTTGTCGGC